GTGCGACGCGGGCTACGCGGGCGACGACTGCGGCGTGCGCAGCTGCCCTAGAGGCTGCCTGGGCCGCGGCCGGTGTCTGGACGGGCGCTGCGCGTGCGATGACGGCTACGAGGGCGAAGACTGCGGCGTGAGGCGGTGCCCGCGGGACTGCCACCAGCGCGGCGTGTGCCAGGACGGCGTGTGCGCCTGTTGGGAGGGCTATGGCGGAGCGGACTGCGGCCTCCGGACTTGCCCCGCCAACTGCCACGGGCGTGGCCGCTGTGAGGACGGGCGCTGCGTTTGCGACCCCGGCTACACCGGCCCGGCCTGCGCCACCCGCACCTGCCCTTCGGACTGCCGGGGCCGCGGGCGCTGTGTGCAGGGCGTGTGCCTGTGCTACGTGGGTTACAGCGGCGAGGACTGTGGGCAGGAAGAGCCGCCCGCCAGCGCCTGCCTGGGCGGCTGTGGGCCCCGCGAGCTCTGCCGAGACGGCCAGTGTGTATGCGTGGAGGGCTTCCGAGGCCCCGACTGCGCCATCCAGACCTGCCCCGGGGACTGCTACGGCCACGGAGAGTGTCGTGAGGGCAGCTGCGTTTGCCAAGAAGGCTATGCCGGGGAGGACTGCCGGGAACGTGAGTGGCAGCCTTCCCCAGCATGCTGGTCAGGGACTGGTGTGCTGGGGAGCCGAGTAGTGGGAAGGCCTAAGGCCTGGGAAACCAGCACCTGGGGGAAGAACAAGGAGCCATAGGGGTGCAAGGTAGTCAGAGGAACCAGTGAGATGGCAGCCACCAGGAGCACTGCTGCGCCCCCCCCCCAAACCTCTGATGAGCAGGCTCTGATCAACTGAGGGGCACCCTTCAACTGCTTTGGAGAAGGTGCTGTTGCTGGGAGATGGGGAAAGGTGACGGGGACACAGGCCTGTTCGGGCCTCTGCCAACAACTTTGCCCCACTCCCAGAAAGGTGTGGGAACTCCAGGATCTCTCAGTGTGGTCCTGAGTAGGGTTAGGGGGTGATATGGATGAAAGGAGGCTTTCGGCTAACCAGATTCTCTCTGGGGCAGAGATCCCAGCCATCGAAGGCATGAGGATGCACCTCCTGGAGGAGACGACTGTTCGCACAGAGTGGACCCGGGCTCCTGGCCCTGTGGATGCCTATGAAATTCAGTTCATCCCCACGGTGAGAGCCACGCTCAGGAGGGGCTGAGTGGACAGGGTGAGGGGTGGAGGAGGGTGGGGGAGAGGGTTGTCTCATGCTGGAAGTTCCAGGAAATCAGTGGTTGAGTCCAGACCGCTGGGCTCCTGAAGCTTCTGTGAGGGTCTTCTCATGCTGCTCCACATAGGCCTTTGCAGCAGCTCCTGAAATAATTGTTTCACTTGCTGGACATCTCTGCTGGCCCTGAGCACAGTGCTTCCTGGGACTGTTCAGCTCACCACTGGTCATCACTGTCAGTTCTTCTTGTTGCTGAATCCAAATCTGCCATATTCTAGCATCTTCCATCCGCCCTAGCTGGGCCTCCATCAGCAGAGATTGCTTTCCTTCCACTCTGCACCACAGGCTTTCAGATATTTAGAGATCATCTGAATATAATATATTCAGATATTAGAGATCATCCTGTGTCACTCTTCAGTGTCTCCAGGCAAAACCCACTGGTTTCTTCACCGCTTTTCTGAAGACTTTGTTCTTGAATCCTTTGCTTCCCGGGTTCCCTCCTCTAGTGCTTCCTGCTTTTCTGCATGTGCCTCTAAAAACATGGTGGCAGAGAGGATCCTAGTGGGCTGGTGGCTAAAACACCGGCACTTTTTCTCAGACTTGACACTTTAAAATATATATATTTTTTACATATTTATTTTTGAGTAGATGAACTGGGGTGTAGACCAGAGTTTGGGGAGCGAGAGGGTGAGAGGATTCACCAGAGACAGTGTGAACAGAGCAGATGGATCTACTGAAATACACGGCTGAGGGGAGCAGTGGGAGAGACAGGAGAGGTCTGCTGCACCATGTGGGTCACATCTTTGCCCGGGGATTGAACTCAGGCCATGGAGGTGATAGTGCTGAGATTTATTTCCTAGGCCACCAGGAGGCCTCACACTTGACATATATGAACTTGTGGTCACACAAGCTATTAGCTTTTTTTTTTTTTTTAAGATTTATTTATTTATGCATACAGAGCTGGGGTACAGGTCAGAGGTGCAGGGGCAATGAGAGGATTCACCAGAGACAGAGTGGGGAGCAGAACAGGCAGATTGACAAAGTACACTGCTGAGGGCAGCAGCAGGTGGGTCAGGAAAGGTCTGTTGGGCCATGAGAGTCACCTCCAGGGTGGGGATCAAACTCATGCTGAAGTGGCTTTAGCTTCTTAGTGCTTTAACCTACTGCACCACCAGGGAGGGCCCGCTATTAGCTGTTTTTACCACATTTATTTTTTAACCACTATTATAATAGTCATATAGGATGAGTGTAGAGACTTTAGACAATATAAACAAAGAAAAAGAAAGAAGAAAAAAAGAGTGTGGGGGGGGGGAATGACAAACAGCTGTATGTGCGTTCTTAGCCTAAATATAAGCCTTTTGTTTGGCTCTGTGCAGTGTTATCTTTTTTGGTTTGGGCCAAGCTGTCTAGGCTGTTGCAACAATCCTGAGTCTGTGAACTAGATCTCTCGCTTCCATGTTGTCAGTGCATTACAAAATATTATTTCTTTGTGTCTTTCCAACTTGCTCTTAAAATATTTGGGGGGCACCCTAAGGACAAAACCTGTGGCCTGTTGTTGGAGACCTTCTTTTATGCAGTTTGAACTTTTATGATGTGTCAGGTCTCCCAGCTCCAAGTCATCTGACATTTCTACTGTTCAAGTCATGTTTTCCCACACTGTCCCACAAATGTCATGAATGGGTAACCATGTCATCCTCTCTCTGCCCAGCAGGACTCTGGAAAAATAAACTCCTAAGATCTGTACCCTAGTTAAAATCTAGAACAGAAGGGACAGCTCAGAGGTGCTGGCTGTCATCCCCCACCCCCAGCGGCCCCATTATTCCAAGTCTTATCACATCCCAGACAGACCCCAGGCTTGTCTGTCTCCTCATTCTCTGGAAAAAGCAGAGGCAGAAATCCCTGCTTTGCTGAGCAACCAAGATAGTTCGTTTTTTTTCTTTTTGTTTTTTTCATCTGTTTAAAGAAAACTTTTTTTTTTGTTATAAAAATAATTTAATCACAAGACAAGAATTTGGCAACCAGAGAAAAGAAAAACAAATAATTCTTGGCTGCTTCACACTAAAACAAGTACTGTTAACATTTTAAAGTGTCTCCCACTCTCCTCTTGTGTATGTTATTTACATAGCTCTAATCTTGAGCGGGTGGGACTTTTATAAGAGACTTTTCTAAGAAACTTCAGGGTAAGAAGAATGAAAACAAAGACTTGGGAGGGAAGGAGCTTGCTGAGTCCTGTGGCCTCCTGCTCTTAGTAAATAGAGACCCATCCTTGGGTGTTCCTGGGGATGTAGCACCCCAGCCCCCCGCCCTCCCCCTGTGTGGGTCAGCTGTGTGAGCAGCCAGTGCCAGGTTGGCCATGCTCTGTGCTCATCTGCACAGCCCTCTTTCACATTCTGGGTTCTCTCTGCGCCCGGATGTGGAAAAAGCTCCTGTAAAATTGGTCCCCAGATACTTCTCTTGGGCTCTGCGTCAGCCTCTGCTACTGGCCCTCTGGCCATGCTTCCTGTGGCTCGCCCCTGGAGTTTTGCCTGTGACCTTGGCCCGCATGCTCTGTCCATTTCTGTTGGCATGGAGTGTATTCAGTAGCCGGCTGTCCTCAGCCACTGCCATCTTCCTAGAAGCTTGTCTCTACCTTACCCTCTCTGCTTTTCCAGAAGCATTTCTCTCTCCAAGCCCAACTCTGCTATTCCTGGCCAAGGGACACACCTAGCTGTTGGAATGATTTTCCGAACACAGAAGAGGAACATTCCCCTCTCCCTGCGTACGTGGCAATATCATTCTGACTCAGTGGTTCTCAAAGTGTGTTTCCTGGACTTGTAGCATCAGTGTCACCTGCAAGCTCGTTAGACACAGTTTTCAGACTCTGCCCCAGATCTACTGAATCAGAAGTCCTGGGGGTTGTCACAGGCTTTCTGGGTGATCCTGATGTGCTCCTGAGTTCACTAAGAGATGTAGCTCTGTTGTATGAGGCTGGCTCCTTTCCCAATGTGAGAACAAGTGGGAGCAACCTGAGGAAGCTGAACCCCTGAACCAGAAAGGCAGCCAGGTATTTCTTGTGGCTTATTCTGTATCTTGGAAACTGGAGCTGTGCTACTTTTTGCTGAGAAGCGAGGCCCTACAGATTAGAAAAGTTTGTGTTTAGGACTGCTCTGATAACAGGGAGGAGACTGGGCCAAACTCCAAGAAGTAGCCAAGGTGGGGAACCCTAGCTGGGGTCCTGAGGTTGATACAAGAATGGTTAGAGCTCACCAGGAGCTCCTGATCTACAGTGCCTCTCTTACAGACAGAGGGGGTGAGCCCCCCATTCACAACACGGGTGCCCAGCTCGGCCTCAGCCTATGACCAATCTTCCCAGGGAGATGAGAGGAGTTTTAACCAAGGGGCAGGGCCAGCTGCCAGCTGTGGTCAGAGAGCCTGCCTGAGGCCAGTCGGTGGTGCTAGCTCAGATGGTGGGGCTTTCAGGGGACTCTTCCTAAATGGATGTCAGGGAGACTGAGAAGTGTCTAAAAGGTAGGTGTAGGTGCTCTGAAGGGAAGAGAATGCTGGGGATGCTGTATCTCACTGGAAGCACCAGGCACCATTAGGGAGTATCCAAGGGGTATGTATGTGTGTGTGAGATGCCACTAGGGAGTATCCAAGGTGTGTGTGTGTGTGTGTGTGTGTGTGTGTGTGTGTGTGTGTGTGTGTCTTGGGGACTGCAAGGGGAGAGAGAAAGTTCTGGGGAGGATGAGTACTTCACAGGTCTTGAAATGAGGTCAGCCCAAGGCTGGGGTGTCCTAGGCACGGTGAGTAGGAGAGGGAGGGGAGTTCTGTGTGCCCGGGAAAACTTTTCAGCCAAGAAAACTCTGACAAAGCTTTAATTCATCCTCAATTCAGAAATCTCTACGTGGCCTCTCATCTGGTTTTACACTTTAGTATTTACTATGCTCACTCCCCAGCATCCCCTCGGTTTAGGAGAGTACCTTTTGAAATTTCCAGTCCTACTTGGCTGCACAGAGGTGCACCCATCACGCCAACATAGCTAACCAGAACAGAGCGTCCTCCCGGCTGTCCTGGCCGGACGGCCCCCGCTCCCAGAGGTCTGCTCCCCCCGTTACCCCAGGGCTGACGCACCAGAGACCGGCCTGGAGCAGGGCTGGCAGGTTTCCTGTGGCTCACCCCAGACAACCCTGATACCTTTACTATTTATTATGAGGGGAGGGTTGTTTGCTCACAGAGTTTTGGGTAGAGAGATGCTAACTCGTAAGACCTGGCTATTCATTTAGTCACTAGAGCTGAGTTTTCAGAGGACAGGCAGTATCAGATCGGAGGCCCCAGTGCCCAGCATGATGCCAAGTACAAGACTGGGAAACATATTTGTGGAAACTTGAGCAGATGGGCCTTGTTTTTGAGGGGCCTACAACCCTGCACAGGAGGTGAGAGAAGTGCCTATAGGAAAGTGTTGTGATGCCAGAAACAGGTGCTTTAAGAAGTGAGAATCGGGCCCTTCCTGGTGATGCAACGGGTTAGGACACAGCGCTGCAAGCTGGCCACAGCCACTTCAGTGTGAGTTCCATCCCTGGCCCCAGAGCTGACCCACATGGCACAGTGGACCTCTCCTGACCTGCCCACTGCTCCCCTCAGCAGTGTACTTTGTCCATCTGCCTGTTCTGCTCCCCTCTCTGTCTCTGGTGAATCCTCTAACCCTCCTGCACCTCAGGCCTGTACCCCAGTTCTGTATGCATAAATAAATAAATCTTAAAAAAAAAAAAGAAGCGAGAGTCGCAGGGGCATCCCTATCTATTTCATCTGTTGGGACAAGAAAGAGCTTAGGAGCATCTCCTTGTGCCCACGTTGTCAGGGCTGCCTGACGAAAGCCAGAGGGAGTGCTGGGGTGTGTCAGCTGGAATTCTGGCAGGCCACTGGTGAACAAGCTAGAGAAAAAGGTGGGGCCCATGAAGGGGGGCTCTGGGGCTCTCTCCCTGGCTTGCATCCTTGCTCTTTCTTAGTGTTGTTGATCTTGGCCAAGGTGCTAATCCTTCTGTACCTTGGTTTCCTCATAAGGTTCTTGGGGGGATTAAGGCCCAGTTGAACAGTCCCTGGTGTGGAGCAAGGGCTGTAGATGTGTTTGCTGCCATCACACATGCTCCTCAGCTGTAACTGCCCCGTGCTGTCCCTGCTTAGAATCGAGGAAGATGAGAGACAGGGGCAGTGCAGTGAGAGATCACCAGGAGCTCCTGATCTACTGTGCCTCTCTTACAGACAGAGGGGGTGAGCCCCCCGTTCACAACACGGGTGCCCAGCTCAGCCTCAGCCTATGACCAGAGAGGACTGGCTCCTGGTCAGGAGTACCAGGTCACCGTCCGTGCCCTCCGAGGGACCAGCTGGGGCCCTCCTGCTTCCAAGACCATCACTACCAGTGAGAGCCGCAGAGGGGGGTGTGGTTCTGGGTGGAGATCTGGGTTCAAGAGGAGCACTAGTCATCTGCTCTCAGGAGGGCAGCGGGAGGGACAGATGGGGGCAAGGCACCTGGAGGAAAGCTAGTGACTGGAGAGCCAGACTCCCACCTGAGCTCTCCTCTCTCCACCGGCTAGTGATTGATGGGCCCCAGGACCTCCGCGTCGTGGCTGTGACACCGACCACGCTGGACCTCAGCTGGCTGCGTCCCCAGGCCGAAGTAGACAGATTCGTGGTGTCCTATGTCAGTGCTGGCAACCAGAGGGTGCGGCTGGAAGTGCCCCCTGAGGAGGACAGGACACTGCTGACTGACCTGATGCCAGGCGTGGAATACGTGGTGACCGTCACTGCGGAGCGGGGCCCGGCAGTAAGCTACCCGAGTTCCATCAGGGCCAACACAGGTATGGACGGCAAGGGGTGAGGGAGGGGCCGGGATGCCGAGTGCAGGACCCAGCCTGTGGGAGCCCATGTCTAGGCTCACAGGTGCCCCTGGGTGCCCTTGGTGGGTATGGGGCAGACCCAAAGCACCTGCCAGGTGGGATGGGAGACAGCCCTCAGAAGCCCTGCAGCAATGCTACAGTGGCTGGCCCATGGGCCATGCTCCCCAAGCTGCCGCGGGGAGGAGATGCTGCCTGACTCCCCATGGTAAGGCTGGAGGTGGACGCCTGTGCTCAGCCAGGCTCAGAGCTTGTAGGCATTGGAGTTGGGCCGAGCAGAAATCAGCACTGCCTGACTTCACGACTGGGGTTTTGCAGAGTGATTTTCTACTAACCCTCAAGGTCTTTTAACAGATGCCTGGATCTTTCCCTTTTCTTTGGCTGTGCCGGAGGGACACCCACCGCCCTAGCTCACATTCCCTCCTCCCAGTCCTCTTTGTCTCCTTCAGACACAGGGCCCCACCTGCTGGCTTCTCTTCTTTCTAGGGCAGCAACCGTAGCGGGCTTGAGGGCTGAGGGGCCTCTGGGGCGCTGACTCCGTTCTCTCTGTTCTCTTTACAGGTGGGGCTGAGGCTCGCGGAAGAGGCCCCAGGTCTGGTGGGAGGGAGGCGCGGAGGGGAGGGCGGGAGGGGGCGAGGTTACCACTGATCTGCTCTCCTGCGCTTTTTCACCCACGGCAGCACCAGCGCACTACAGCTACCCGGAGGTGCGCCCCTCAGCCCGGGGCTCCCAGAACGGGCCCCTCCGGCCTCCTCGGCCCGCCAGGCCCTCGCGGCCGCAGGAGGAAGGGGAGGAGGAATCTCTGCCGAAACCTAGCCTGCCCCAGCCTCCGCGGCGGCCCTGGGGCAACCTGACCGCGGAGCTGGGTCGCTTCCGCGGCACGGTGCAGGACCTGGAGCGCCACCTGCGGGCCCACGGCTACCCACTGCGGGCCAACCAGACCTACACCTCGGTGGCCCGCAACATCCACGAATATTTGCAGCGGCGGTGGGCGGGTGGCGCCCCCGCAGGCTCTCCGGCACCCCCGCCCCGCCGCCCCCACCCCACCGTCAGCGCCGAGTCGGGCACCTGGAAGCGGGACTCCAACCAGGGCATCTACGCCCCCTCTTCCCAAGGCCTCGACCCGGCGGCTGCGCCCCGCCACCCCAAGCCCGAGGTGCTGGGCAGTTCCGCCGACGGCGCGCTGCTCGTGTCCCTCGACGGGCTCCGCGGGCACTTCGAACGCGTGGTGCTGCGCTGGCGGCCCCAGCCACCCGCAGAGGGCCCTGGCGGGGAGCTGACGGTGCCCGGCACCAGGCGCATCGTTAGCCTCCCCGACCTCAGGCCTGGCACCACCTACCACGTGGAGGTCCACGGGGTGCGGGCAGGGCAGACCTCCAAGTCCTACGCCTTCATCACCACCACAGGTAGCGTGGGCTGGGGCGCCGGGGTCACCCATCCCCTGTCCAGCCTCAGCTGCCGCGGAGTCTGCATCCAGAGTTCTTCCCACTGCCTTGCTGCTCTGACCCCCACCCCATAACTCCCTACTGTCTTCAAGTCCTACCTGGTGGAGCCTCCAGGAGACCCCACAACAAAGCAGATGTCGTGTGTCCCTCGAAGTCCCTCCACTCCCAGAGTCCTGGCAGATGCCCAAAGCCAAGGAGACCTGGCCTTTCGCATTCCCAGATTTCCACTTGGGTTCCCAGGGCACTCCTGCCAGGACTGCTGTTTCAGGCAATGGAGGGGGCCTTTGAGGGGGTGGGGAGTGGCTTGGGTGGGGATAGTGGTGAACCTGCGGTTCCCATTCTGACTCACTGTGGTGAGCGTGGCTGAAGCCTGTGGTCAGTGGTTACTGTTTTCCACAATTTGGCCTTAACCTCAGAGGGACACATCAGACCTGCTTGGGGTGGCCTTGGAGCAGAGGCACGTGTGTGGCATGTGTGAGGTGAAGCCACTGCTTCTCCAGCTACCTTCGCAGACCTGTCTCCCTTCACAATGGTCTCTCCTACAGGAATGGTGTCGAGGCGCTCCATGGCTGCCAAAGGGAGAGTGTGGACCTCTTCTTTCCCATAGGGCACAGATGCCACACAGCTGGACATACACCTCCTTTCCCTCTCCTGTCACCACCCACTCTCTTGTCTCTCCGTCCCTAACACCACCATCTCCTTTCTTCCAGGCTTCTCACTGCAGCACTAATGGAAGCCACGACCACCACCCACTGGGGAGGGGAGCGTGGGGAAGTTTGGGGTGCTGGAGGGATCAGAGGAGTCTGGTGGGAGAGGGATGGCATGCTTTATTTCTTTTATTACCTATCTGTTCAGGGCTGCGGTGGACAGGGGTGTTGGGAGCACTGGAAGGGTCTTTGGGAGGGTGGGGTGGCCTCAGCAGTGGAGAAAAGAGGTCTCAGAGCAGAAAGAGAGGGCCGCCATGGCTAGAGGGCAGAGCCTGGGAGCTGGGCTTCCTTTCTGCCTCTCATACTCTACTCTTCCGTTTTTCTCGCCCTACCCTTCCCAGGGTCTTCCCCCTTGGGCCTCTTGGGGGCCACTGATGAACCTCCTCCTTCTGGCCCTTCAACAACTCAAGGGGTCAAGGCACCCGGCGTGCAGCAGCGCCCCCAGGAGCTGGGAGAGTTGAGGGTGCTGGGCAGAGACAAGACAGGGCACCTCCTTGTGGTCTGGACCGCCCAGCCTAACACCTTTGCCCACTTCCGGCTGAGCCTGCAAGTGCCCGAGGGGCAGGAGGTGCACGAGGAGCTGCTACCAGGGGATGTCCGCCAGGCTCTGGTGCCCTCACCCCCTCCTGGAGCTTCCTATGAGCTGACACTTCGTGGGGTCCCCCCCACGGGCGAGCCCTCTGCACCCCTCTTCTACCAAGGCATTATGGGTACATTCTGGATTTTGCTTGGACCAATGTCTTGAGGTTGGGGGAAGAACTGGGGTCAGCACGTCAGAGGTGGGATGGAGGTTGAAGGACAGGGTTGGTGCTTGGGTTAGGTGTTTCTCTCCAGAAGACGAGGAGTTGAGGGTTCAGAGGAAAGTGAGATAGGGGTCTTAGAGCAGTGACAGAGGTGGGGAGGAGGAGGGGACTACTCCCCAAAAGAAGAGAGAGGAGAAAAGTCAGAGGTGGGACAGGAGCTCAAGGGGAGAGGCTGTCAGCTGACCTGCTCTCTGTCCTGCCCCCACTTCCTGGTCACTCCTCACCCCAACCTGTCCCCTAGGTCTCCCGGGGCAGAGTTGGGAGGGGAGGCCTCTGACCCGAAGGATACCCAGGCCCCACCTTCCCATCCACTCCCCACAAGCCCCTCCACTCCTTCACTAGGCTGGCCAGGATGTGGGCCATCCCCCACCTGGGAATCTGCTGGCAGTGGACAGCTCCCCAAAAGACAGTTTCTGCTGGGACTGGAGGTTCCTTGACAATGGGGTGTCCCAGCCACCCGGACTTCAGAGTTGGTGAGGTTTGCAGAGCTAGTGAAGGACTGAATCTGGCTTTTACATTCCTTCCTGATGCCTCTACACAGGTCCAAGGTAGCTGGCTCCTTCTGCAGCTCCAGCTCAAGTTCAGTATTTGGAGAAAGGGTAGTGAGAGAGAGAAAGTTCAGGTGGACAAAGGAGGCTTTTGGTGGCTCTAAAGCAGCAGTGGAGAGGTTGGAAACTCTCAGGAAGGACCACAGGGCACAAGTATGATCTTGGTGTAGAGAGGCTGGGAGCTTTGTGAGGGGTGGGGACCTGTCACATGGGAAGGGCTAAGTTTTCCACTACAGAAACGGGGGAGGATGTCTCCCCCACAGCAAGGCAGGTCACAGAGGGCTGGGGTGGAGGCCTGCCTGGAGGGAGCAGTCGGAGAGGCCCACAAACAGTGGGCAGAGAAGACAGAGACAGACAAGACAGTGGCTGAGCTCACTTGCTTTGCTTTGCGCCTCCCCCACCCCAGACAAGGATGAGGAGAAGCCTGAGAAGCCCCGGACCCCACCACGCCTGGGAGAGCTGACCGTGACCAATGTGACCTCCAACTCCTTGCTCCTACACTGGACAGTCCCTGAAGGCGAATTCGACTCTTTCGTAATCCAGTACAAGGACAGGGTTGGGGCCCAGGTGGTTCCCGTGGAGGGATCCATGCGCTCAGCCCTCATCACCAACCTGGAGCTTGGTCGCAAGTACAAATTTATCCTGTATGGGCTCACAGGCAAGAAGAAGCATGGCCCCCGGGTGGCTGAAGCCAAGATCGGTGAGCAAGAACCATCACACACCCCTGCCCTCTGCACAGTTAAAGGAGGGCTTCCCAGTGCTTTGGGAAATCCAGGAGGCCTTCCTGGAGGCAATGGTGCCTGAGAGGAATCTTGAAGGGAAAAGAGTAGAGATTTAGGCAGAGAGGTTGAGGAGTGTAGTATAGAGGGAGCCTGGAGAGTGAGGCAGGACTGGTGTAGCCCTGTAAGAGAACCCCTATCTGCCTCCTATGGGTGAAGAGCAGGGACCTTAGCAGCTGGGGAAGGGCCTGGTGCATGACCAAGGAGCTTATCTGGACCTCTCTTTTTTTTTTTTTTATTACAAAGTTTATTTTTACATCATTTTGCACATTTTTTTTTCCATCTCGATTGTAATCCCCGCGGGTTTCCCATCACCAGATCACCCCTGTGCCACCACCCTAGTCCCGTGCATTTCCCTCCCTTCCCCCACCCCCACCCCCCGTTTTTGATCCCATTTCCCACTCCGCCACCACAGAATGTCTCTGGTATATGGTTGTTCATTATTTTTGTTATTTTCTCGCCTGGTTGGACCTCTCTTTTAAAAAAAGATTTATTTGTTTATTCATACAGAACTTGGGAACAAGCCAGAGGTGCAGGGGCAGTGAGAGGATTCACCAGAGACAGAGTGGGGAGCAGAACAGGCAGATTGATGAAGTACACTGCTGAGGGGAGCAGCAGGCGAGACAGAAGAGGTCTGGCTCGCCATGTGGGTCACCTCCAGGGCTGGGGATTGAACTTTCATTGAAGCAGCTGCCGCTAGCTTGTAGTGCTGCATCCTAACCAGCTGCTGTGCTACCAGGGAGGGCCCTCTATTTTTTTTTTTTATGTATACAGAACTGGGGTGCAGGCTAGAGATGCAGGGACAGTGAGAGGAAGCACCAGAGGCAGAATCGGGAGCAGAACAGGCAGACAGAGGGAGACCTACTGGAGCCAGGTCAGGAGATGTCTGTTGTGCCATGTGGTCACCTCTGGGGCCGGGCATCAAATTGGCACTGAGGCGGTTGCAGCCAGCTTGCAGTGCTGCGGGCTGGACCTCTCTTAAGAGGAGTTCTGGGAGGTTTGAAGTTGGGGAGTGATTTGATTAGTTTTTACATAACACTGAGGCTGCCGTGGAGGATAAATGGTGTGGTGGGAGCCAGAAACTAAGTATATAGCCTGCCTGGGACCATGACGGTGGGTGTATGCAGTGAAGGGAAGCAGGGAGACCAGGGCACCCCCACATTTCTGGATATGGCCGCTCACTTCCAGAGGCAAGTTACAGCAGAAGTGAGGAGCAGCGCAGTGTGGACATGGGATGAACACCTCTTGACCCTTTGCTAAGTGTCAGGAGTGTTCAGGACGCCCTTGGTATGCCCCTGCACCGCAGCCCACAGCAGCCCCCAGGCATGGATGTGGAGAATCAAGGTGCTGACAGGGAGGTCACAAAGCAGGAAGTGAGGGGGGCAGGTGGCGGCCGCTGCCCTCATGGGCCTGGAGAGCACTGGGAAGGCCTAAGGACCAGGTGTGATCAGTGCCAAGGCCAGAGGTGAGGGTGTCAGGGTAGGAGAGACAGGGCCTCTGGAACCCGGTAGGTGGCCAGCATCAGTGAATGAGTGGAGAAAGAGGAGCTCGAGAGCGAACCTGTGGAAAGGGGCAGAACCCGGGAGAGTGGTGTCCTGGACATCAAAACCAAGGGTGCGGCCCGATGAGGCAGATCCAGAAAGAGTGATTCAGGCCTGCAGAGTGGCCACAGTCCACCACGGACCCTGCTAAGAGCTGCCTGGTGGAGGGTGGAGCTGGGATGGGAGTGTGATGGAGGTGAGGATAAGACTGCAGTCAGTGCTGACATCTCTCTTTGGAATCTGGGCCGAGGATAAAGTGCAGAGATGGGGTGGATACTGGCGGAGCAGTGGGGCCAGGCTGAGGGCCTTCTTATACCAGCTGACAGCTCAGGGCTGGGAGTGAGGCCCGGTGGTGCAGGGCGGGAGAGCGGGAAACCCAGCACAGGTGGGGAAGGCTCTCCCACATTAAAACTCCATGGGTCGGGCTTCCCTTTCTTTCTTTTTTAATTTTTAAAGTTTATTTATGTATACAAGAGCTGGGGTGTAGGACCAGCTGTGGAGGGGTGGGATGAGAGAACTTACCAGAGACTGTGTCGAGAGCAGAACAGGCAGATCCACTGAAATACACTGCTGAGGGGAGCAGTGGGCAAGACAGGAGAGGTCTGCTGGGCCATGCAGGGCAGCTTCCTGGCCAGGGATCCAACTCTGTGCTGCAGTGGCTGGTGATAGCTTGATAGTGCTGACTTAACCCCTGTGCCACCAGGGGCAAAGGGGATGGCCCTAGAAGACATTCCTGGCCGTGGAGATGCCTGGCTGGACTCCCAGCTCTCTGAAGGGCCTCCCCAGGCTGTGGATAAACTCAGGCCCATGAGTCCAGACAGTGCTTTTGTGCCGTTTCGCAGAAGGCACGCCTTCCTCTGGTTGGACCAGCCCGCATCAGGGCACACAACTTGGCAAGCCGGTTGGCTGGATTTCGGTCCGCCAGTGCTGCTCGTTCCTATGACTTTATGCAATGACTGTGTGACCTGGCGCGGCTTCCCTCAGTAGCAGGTAGATTTCCCTTTCTCCTGTGATCTGTGTCCCTCCCTTCTCTCTCCTCCATCTTCCCAGTGCCTCTGAATGAGACCAGCTCAGTGGCTGTGCCCCGCCTAGGGAAGCTGTGGGTGACAGATCCCACCCCAGACTCGCTACGCCTCTCCTGGACTGTTCTCGAGGGCCAGTTCGACTCCTTCGTGGTGCAATACAGGGATAAGGATGGACGGCCTCACGTTGAGCCTGTGGAAGGGCCTGAGCGCTCAGTCATTATCTCCCCGCTGGACCCTGACCACAAGTACAGATTCACTCTGTTCGGGATTGCCAACAAGAAGCGGCATGGCCCTCTCACAGCTGATGGCACCACTGGTGAGTGGCGGCCGCCTAAGCTCCATACGTCCCCACGCTCAGCTCTCTGCACACTCACCCTCAGCCAGGAACCAGACGGACCTCCCAGGGAGACGGCTGACTCTGCCCTGGCCCCTCTCCCAGGGGAGAGGGGCAGCCAGCACTCCCGCTCCCCGACTGCTAGCCTTCCCACCCCATTCAGCTGCTCCGCAAGGCCCAGAAAGTGTGTCATACCTTGGCTGGGCCAGACTTCCCAGGGTTCACCACTCACACTAATCAAATAATGACACCCCTCTCCCAGGTGCAACAAGCTTTCCAAACCCCAAGCCCCCATCTGGGGCTGGAGTTCAGCCCTGGCTGGATCTTCTTTATAGCTCCAGAGACCAGAGAACCCCTGCTGGGGGACCTGGTGGTGACTGACGTCACCCCAGACTCCATGCACCTGAACTGGACTGTGGCCCAGGGCTCCTTTGACTCCTTCACAATCCAACAGTCCAGTACAAAGATGCACAGGGGCAGCCCCAGGCAGTGTCCATTGCAGGGAGTGGGAACGAGGTCACTGTCTGACTGGAGTGTAAGATGAACCTCCGCGGGCTTCACAGCAGGCAGGTGTCTGGTGGCCACCACTGGCGAATCAGGACCTGGGCCCCCCCCCAATGCCCCCCGCCCCCCAGCACCCGGTCCTCTGAGCAGGACCTGGCCTGGTGCGCCTCCTCTGCCCTCCACCTTCTCTTTCTCGGCCCCAAACCTGCCAAAGCTTTCCCATTCTCCCCTGCTTCCCAGGGTTTCTCTCCAGCCGCCACCCCAGCGGCTTTCTTGGCCATACTTCTCCTTTCCAAGAACAGACCCATTTCCCCAGCCCTAGCACCTGGAATGGTTCCTCCACCCCGGGCTATCCCGTCCTCCCACTCCTGCACGTGCCAGCTGCCGCGTGCTTTCCCCATGGCTTTTGCTGGACTTCCTGTCACGGTTTCCAAATTTCGGTCACACTTCCCTCAGCCATTACTGCAGATCTGCCAGTCGCCCCCGCCCCCCCAGCCAGCTTGGAGCAGGGCAGGGGCTCACTTCCAGCCCGCACAGGCTCCTGGGAGCCCAGCCTCCCCTGTCCAGCTCGCTCTCTGGGCTGTGCAGCTTGATGCCTGGGAGTCTGAGCTCGGGAGCAGTGGGTGGATTTTAATCCCAGCTGTGCAGCCTATGAGACTAGTGCAGCTGCTGAACCCCTTTGTACTGAACCCCTGCTTTCTCATCTGTGACATGGGGTGCTACGGTAACTGCTCCACGGATTTGTTAAAACTCATTTGCAAACTCACAAACCTCCCTTAGAATGATGCCTAGCACGTGAAATCGCTGTTTGGTGGTGAGCTGGCTGCTTCTCCCCTTCTCTCTTCCTGCGTCCTTTCTCCTCCTCCCCTTCCTTCCCTTCTTGCCTGGGTTAGCATCCTTGACGCCTTCCTCAGTCTTCCAACCCTAGTAGTCTATGGGCTGGGGAGTGGGTCTCAGAAAAGCTGACTTCCCTTGCACGGAGTCTCCCCTCTGTGGCGTCTCCCTAGAAACCTCGTGCAGTGGGGTGGGTAGGTGCCCTTACCCTGACTCCAGATCCAGCCAGAGAAGACCTGGGCCCTCCCCAACCCGCAACCCCCACCCCCACATCTTTCTCCCACTCTAATCTGAGCCTTGGCCTTAGCCTTTCATTCCTTAAGATTAAGGTTAGCCTAACATTCTTTAAGGTTAAGGGTGAGGGAGGGGAAGGCCTGCCTCTGAGGCCTTAGCCAAAGCACATTCCATCTTCTGCCCTGGTAAGTGGGGTGGGAGAGGGAGGCAGCTGAGAGCTGGAGCTGACAGGAAGAAGCAGAGGTGGGAAGAGCTTCCCTGCACCTCACAGCGTAGCACTGTCTGCAAAATATATAGAATTCCTTAGACTCCCCTCTTTCCATCTCAGCTCCTTTCTCAGGCGTGAAGGGTGACCCCCGCCTTGCACCCCACCACAAGACCCACCAGTGCAGTCCTGACAGCATTACATGGTGTGGTTAGTCCTCTCTCCGTTAAAGAGCTTCTGAATGGCTGACACAAGGCTAAACCCCCAGCCTACAGCTTGAGGAGTTATTTACAGGATATGCTTCATTGTTATGATGAATGTCACCAGTAAAGCAAGTGGCCCTTTAAACCTGTTGCTTCTTCTCTCTCAGCAACCCGCAAACCTGTGGACAAGATCCCTAGCCCCACAAAACCTAGCATAGGTGCCTCAGAGCACCCCAGGGAGCCCCGCCTGGGGGAGCTGGCCATCACAGATGCCACCCCCAACTCCCTGCACCTCTCCTGGACGGTCCCCGAGGGCCAGTTTGACCACTTCCTGATCCAGTACAAGAATGGGGACGGCCAGCCCAAGGTGGTGCGGGTGCCAGGCCACGAGGACACGGTCACCATCTCAGGCCTGGAGCCAGACCACAAGTACAAGATGAACCTGTACGGCTTCCACGAGGGCAGGCGCGTGGGCCCCATCTCCACCATCGGGGTGACGGGTGAGTGGGGAGGAAGCCCAGGTGGGGCCCAAGTGGAGGTGACCATGGCTCTGGGTGGCTGGGGGGGGTGCCGGGGGCCCCTCTGCCCAGGCTGAGCCTCCTCCTGGTCCTCCTGGGCATCGGGGCCTGCTGGGCTGAGCTGTGGCTGCACTGGGTCCCCACAGGCCCAGGGGCTCCAGGCCTGTTTGTGAGGTGCAGTGAGCAGGACCCCAGCCCGAGGGGCTTCTGTGAGCTGCCATCAGGGCCCCCCATGGCCGTGGCCTCTCCGTCTTGTCCTGGGCCTCCAGGGCCATGCTGTGGCCCCGCCTCAGCCTCTGTGTCTCTCCTCAGCGCCAGATGGAATCGAACCCACAGAAGCCATCTCAGAGGAGCCTGTGATGGGGGAGCTGACTGTGACAGGCACCTCCCCAGACTCGCTGAGCCTCTCCTGGATCGTACCCCAGGGCCACTTTGACTCCTTCAGCGTCCAGTACAAGGGCGGGGACGGGCCGCAGGTGGTGCGTGTCGGCGGTGAGGAGAGAGAGGTCACGGTGCAGGGCTTGGAGCCGGGGCGCAAGTACAAGATGCACCTGTATGGCCTGTACAGGGGCCGGCGAGTGGGCCCCGTGTCCACCGTGGGCACAACCGGTGAGTGAGCACGGGCCTGGTTTGATGTCCTGTCTGGTGGCCCCCAGCCTCCTTGTGATAATAGCTCTTCCTGTCCACGAGGCCCCACCTGCTTCTGGTCAACCTCGAATTCACTGGAGCTGGGTCCAACCTGCTGTGTCTTGAGCGAGTTTTAAATTTTCCACATCTCTTTCCTTGTGTGTCAAACAGCTGGGTTAAATGCATTAACAGTCTAAAGCACTAAGGACTGAGGCTGGCATGGAGTCAGTGTGTGCCAGTGTCTGCCACTATGATTCTTGTGGCTGTGCTTGCTCTGGGGTCTGCTGCAGCCCTTGGCTGGTCCAGCTGCTGGCCCAGATGACCAGTGTACCTGAGGCATCCACCTACCTCTCCATTAGTGCAGCTGGCCGCTTTCTTTACCACGCATCTTGTGAGTGCCTCGACAGAAGGGAACATCCCCCCACCCCACACCTCAGGCCCAGGCATAGGGCATCAGTCACACAGATGGCCTCTTCCACAGAGCCCCAGGGCCCAGATCCCAGGCTGGCCGGGGCCTGCAGAGCTTGGTCACAGGGAGGGTATCTGTTTTCACCTTTGTTCACTGACATGTTTTTGTTCAAAGACATACCTTTTCCCAAAACAGCTTTTACTCTAAGGGAGAAGGTTAACAACTTAAAAGCAGGGAATATCTTACAAACTCACAGTGACTTGGTTTGTGTAGCTTCTAGCACAATCCACTCCCAGTTGTCTTTGCTTCAGGCAGCCCAGGGAGAAGGAGAGGAAGCCACCCTGAGTTACTGTGCTGGGGCCTGAGGTCGCAGAATGGGGACCTCCTGTGCCCAGGACATGCTGTCCAGTCCCTGCTGGGGAGACCGTTGGTCTGTCCATCCCGGGCTGTGTGACCCCGGGTATTGTGTCAGCACCGCCTGAGGTGGTGCAGTGGAAGAAGGCTTGGTTTTGGAATGGGACGAGTTGAGCTCCACTCCTAGCTTCCCCCTCCTAGCTGTGTTCCTAGAACCTCGTTTTCCTCATCTTCATGATGGAGCAAGTCATGTCCACCCAATCACAAGGGTTAGACGTAGTTGTGTGTAAAGTATTCTTTAAAGATGTATTTATTTATGTCCTTATGACTTTCTGTTCAAACCTTCCTGTGGAGGAATCGCTATATATCTGATCAGATACTGGGTATATTAAACCACCCATTGTCCAGGATAGAGTAAGTGGCCCTTGAAGGAAGAAGAGACAATGTCCACTCTGAGAGCAGCACAGTGATGGGGCAGCCAGAACCTGCAGAGCCAGAGGCACTGCCATGCCTTGGCCAGAAGAAACAGGCAGCATGTCAGAAACATTTCTAAACTGGAAAAGGATCGCCTGCATAGTCGCGGGCAGCTGTGACCCCACCTTTCCTAGCTCAGCCAGACTGTCAACACAAAGCTTGATGGCAAGGGACAGTTTCTGTCCCTCTTAGAAAGAAGCACAGGAGGTAGAATCAGGAGGTGGATGCTGTGGTGCAAACAGCCTTGAGGCCGAGGGGTAGAGGCCAGTGCTGGCCAGCAGGTGGACACACAGTGCATGTGGCTTCCCCATGCCTATCCCCTGGCTCCACGCTGTCCTCATTCAGACTTGTCCTGCCTGCTTTGTAAAGCAGAGTGTATCCTCTGGCACCTCATCTTGTCCCAGAGGAGCCAGAGAAACCGCTCTTGGGGAGCCCACTGGCTGGGTCACTGATGGAGTCAGCTCGTTCCTGGGCGGTGCAACCTGCTGGCCCCAAGCTCAGTCGCAACCAGCACAGACACGCAGGCCTACCTCATTTGACAAACTTGTGTGGCAGGCCAAGCGCTTGGGACACAGACGTGAACAGGCCAAGCTCCTGTTCCTGTTCAGGCTGAGCTGAATGTGGGGCTTGCACTCAGGGAGAGGGAGACAGGAATCGAACTGCAGAAAATGTTAGTGTAGGAGGCCGTGGAGAAAAGCAAAATCCAGCACATGCTGGGGGAACCGATGGAGAGGGGGGCATGGACAGCCCTCAAGAGGGAAGAACTGGAGAGGGAACAGGACCTGCCATGTGGGCCTTTGGGGAAGATCACGTGGCCTGTAGGAAGGTGTTGGAGTGGATGGGACAGTGATGTGAGGCAGGATACACGTGGGGCCTTGGAGGCCATGGTGAGTGGGCTGGAAGCCGTGTGGGGACAGAGCTGACTGATGTGTTACCAGTGGCAGGCAGTGAAGGGGTGAGGGTAGAGAGGGTAGGAGGCACCCACGTAGGCCTGCGAGAGGGGTTGGGTAGGTGGGAGGGCTCTGAAGGGGCTGCCTGAGGGACTTACTCGAGGAGGCTACGGGGTGGGAGAGGGCTCAGGTGGCTGTCAGGACTAAGCCAAGGTTTTGCTCAGATGGGGAGGCTGTGGAGGAAACAGACACGGGGGTGGCGGAGGCCCTGAGCTCAGCTTGGACTTGAGTCTAAAGCACTGAATTAGCACGGACAGATGTTGGACAGACATGAGTCAGGAGAGCAGGGCGGCGGTCTGGATGGGAAGAACTTGGAGTCACTGACAGACATGGAAGTTTAGACACTTTCCTGGTACTCAGGGAGGATAACACACTTCCCCTCAGATACAGCCCCAGATCCAGGCAGAAACTCAGAGAAGGGGAGTTGGCCAGCCAGATATGGCCAGTTCATGTAGATTTCATCAAAATTGCTTCATGGGCATCATGACAAATGTACATCACACGACCCAGGGAAAGACGGGCTTAGGCTAACAGCCTCCCAACCATCTTCTCAACTCCATCGACAGAGGAAGAGGGCCCTGCAACCACCAAGCCCCCTCTGAAGCCTCGCCTGGGGGAGCTGACAGTGACCA